TTTCGGCCTCTGCCTCCCTGGCACCTAGTGACCTGCCAGTGGAAGCTCCTCATCCCCGTGTGGCCCTGGGCTGCGTGCGTGAAACCTCCATGTCCTCTTCAGAGCTTTTCTTCTGCACGGCCTCGGGATCTCTGGAAGGGATTGGGTGGCTGAGAAGCCTAAATTGAATTGAGGAACGGAGTTCATTAGCCGTTTAGGATGGTGATCTCTCTTCTGGCGGGTGGCTCCAGTGAGAATCGGCCATCCCTATCCGACAGGACCGCTTTGTCCTTAGCTGTTGGTTTTAGACGATGCAAACGCTCTCTAGCAAAGAAAACCTCCAGGTTGCCAGCTGGCCAGCGTTACGTCATCGTAGGAAGTCTGCTCTGTGAAGAGCTTCTGAGGAGCCGTTCCCACTTCCCATGGTTCGGTGAAGGTATGTGCTTAGAGTGGTTGATTCATTTCCCTGTGCTGGAAGGCCTGTAGTTGGGGCTGTCAATGCGCAGGCAGTTTCAGGCAGTAAATCTCTCCAGCTAAGCTGGGAACAGATTGCTCTTCAGGTCAGCCAGATCTCTTGTGAGCTGCGACGCCTCCGAATCCCGGGTACATCCTGTGTCTCTTCGTTGCCCTGGAACCTCCCAGCCGGCGCTCCGCTGCGGAAAGCAGTCTAGACGAGGGAAGGAGGAAAGGAAAGGAAAGGAAAGGAAGGAAGACTTGATCAGGAAGCCAGGGAATCTTTCTGGGGTATCTCCTGCATCAATGTACGCTTGTGTACTACGTTCCTGCAGGGAGCCCCAAGCCTGTCCTCGCTTTCTTGATTTTTTTTTTTTTTTTTCTTCCCCCTCTTGTCCTCAGTCCTATTGCAGAATATATATATGTGCAAAGTGGCTGCTCTTTTTTAAAATGGTTAAATTAGAAAACACTGTTAATAGAGTTGAAACCTGGCCTCTAGTATCTGGTTAGGACACTTTTTAAAGCAGTTAGGGATCGACCTGGAGAAGATACGCACGCTATTAAAGTTGTCCCACGTGCTGTAGGAAACGCTGGGGAGGAATACAGCCCTGCTGAAGCGCTCTGCTGTGCTTCCAGACGTGCACTGAGGTTATTTGAGATCTTACGGTCTTAAAGAGGTGTTATAATAAAGGTATTACTATAAGTAAAGTGCCCTGTATTTTCAGAGCACCCTTCAAGGCAAAATGGTTACAATGCATAATGTGAACGTAAGCTTGCTCCTTAGTTAAGTGCAGTGCCATCAAAAGGAAAATTATCATCTTGTCAAATTTATTTGAAATTAGGTATGGAGGGGTGTGACAGCACGCTCCAAAGGTTCAGAAACGAACTCGTATCTAGAGCACGTGTTCGCTGGGAGGCCTATTGCAGCGGCCTTTGATGCCATCTCCCCCGTGGTGGCTGCTCCTCAGGCTGCTGCTGGCACCCAGCAGCCGGTTTGGCTTCAGCGCTGGGCGAGAGAGGGTGGGGGATGCTCAAGAGCAAGCCTCAGCACGCTGCCTTTTCTCCTTCCTCCCATCTCACTTCTGTCTGTACTCGGGAAACTGTTTCCAGTTCCTCTCTTAGGAAGACGTACTCGTGCTCTCCGCTTACGGTGATGAAACCTCTCTGTGCTTGGTAGGAATATTGCTGCTCCTCTCCCTATTGAGAGGACGGATCTAGCCAGGAAAAGTTTAAAAATAAAAAAGATTAGACTTCACTGGTACAACCTTTGCAGAGAATCCTGGTTCACGTGAAGGTCGGTTGTCCCGCACGAGCGATGGCAGGCTTGGAAGCGAATGACGCTCCCCGAATACGCTGCGGGTTGGCTGAGCGCAGGCAGTGCATGAAATGAAATAACCTTATATAAAGGATAATTGTGTCAAAAGCCATATTAGGTAAGCTGAATTTTCTGTAGCGCATACGCGCATTTAAAACTTACTGGATGTCTGTATTCCACGGAATTTAAAAGCACTTGAAGGATTCCTGCATTAATGCTGTGCTTAAGCCATTCAAAAAAATTTTTTTTCCTAACACTTACGCTTCATTTTTCTTGTCAATAAGAATTATAATTTGTGAAGAGGGAAAACGCTGTCTTTGAAAAGCCAGTGAACTGTACTTGAGGTCTGGTGCATGAGTTAGACGTGTGCAGGCAGCGCGAGTTAAGTTAGGCAAGAGCTTGTGTTGCAACGTTTCACCTGCAGGTGGGCTGATGGGAGCGCTTTCAAAGGGAACGTTTCAGCGGAATTTCGGTGTCCTAATTCTTTTTTTTGGCTGGGCTCTTGGTATTCTTTGAATGTAGGCCAAAAAGTTAATCCACACATGCACATTCCCAGGTTCATTAATTATGAAACTAGCTAAATGTTGCCATCAGCTGCCTTTTGCAAGGAGAATTTTACCTGTCTGTTAGAAATGTTTATACTTTGTAGTAGCTGTGGAAGACCACAGGTCCTTCCTTCATTTTATGTACAGAAGAACGGGAGTGCTCTGATTTTCACTAGGTTATTATTCAGCTAGATGCATGACGTTCCTCTGGTAGTGAGTTTATTAGGTTGCTTCTTACGCACGTGTGCAGGAAGGTAAGCTTGTGTGCAAAACCAAGGGACGCGGTGCTCTTGATTTCTAGGTTCTGCTACTGACTCAGATTATCATTTTTGGCTGGTTACCTAACTACTTTGAGCTACTGTTAATCTAACTGTAAAATTGTTACACTAATATACACTTTATTAGATTCTGAGAAAGTTTAATTCAGTGTTATTAAGCAGTATGTTCTGGGATAAAAGGATCTATTTAATAAAACATTTTTATTGATTTTTCTGCAGAGCAGCAATTGAATATTAAGTTGTATTAAAATGTTCTTGTCCCTCCCAATCCAAACAAGTTTGAAATCTTGAGCAATCAAAGAATAAAAATACCATTCTACTGTACATGCCCTGGGAGGGGGAAGGCCTTTGGCTGGATTACTTGCTGTTTACTCTAACTTTTATTATAAAATACTTGTTTGGGGAAAATCCTCTAGGGCAGCAGCATTCACGCTGTGAGATTAGATGCCTGCTGACTTTTAAAAGAGGAGAAAAGGATACAGTGTCTGGGATTCGTAGTGTTTGGCGATTTCCTTGTCTGCTACTTGGCATTGCGGTCTCTGGATTGCCTCAAGGAACAGGAACGTGAAAAGCGAAAATTTTGAGGAAAAATATGATAAGACCTTTTGGAAGGAAGATACAATGTAAGAGCGGCTCGTTTCATTCCGATCAAAGGTCCAGCCAGTCTAGTATCCCGTCTCCACCATAACTGGCAGCTGATTCCCAGGGAATGCTATAAGAACAAGGCAAACAAATAGTCATATTTTTCGCAGAATGCTCTCCCTGCTTCCAAGAAGGACTTCCTGAGCTAGAGGTAGTGGCTTTTGTCCTTAATATCCCTTAATGTATTTTTCTTCCATGAAGTCATACAGGAGCTTTTGGAACTCGCCTAAGGGAATCTGTGTTTTGCGTAATGGTACTTCTCCAGACTTTGGCTCCGACTGCTGGGAAAAGTTGCTTTCTTCCTACTATTTTTGTATTTAAGAGTTTATCACAATCATGGCTAAAAAAGCCGTGCTCCACGTTTGCTACAGCAGGCCAGCTAATCCTTATTATTACTTTACTTTCTTTCCTAACAGAAAATCATGGTAGTAGGTGTGCAGCATTCTATATATGAGAATAGAGTTGGGCCGCGGGTATGTTTTATTTTGGTTTTTATTCTTTTTTTTTTTCTTTCTTGGTTTTATTCTGCCTGACCTGTGGATTAACCTCTACAAGGCAGTTATCAGCTCTCCCAGCGAGGCGGTTTTCATCGCTGACCGTGGGACGGGATGCCAGTTTGGTTTGCAGGGCGAGCGGCAGAGGAGGATGGGGAGGGTAGGGGCAGAGACCGGAGCAGGAGCTCTCGGGTCACGCTGAGCCAAGACGAGCGTTGGGACTGCTGTGTAAAGCACGGCTGCAGCGTGGAGAGAGCGCGTACCACGTCTAGCGCGTTCTTTGATCCTATTCGTTGTTTTAGTGTTACAGGACTGCAATAGGATCTCTAAATCTCATGAAAACTGCTGCCAGCAACTTTCCAGATTGCACTGAGAAAGCATTCTGAATTTGTGGACCAGCTCTAATCCTCACCTTTGCTACAGTTACCTACGCTAGTGTGCATCAGGTCACTTAAACGCTCCTCTTTACCAGCCCATACGCTCTTTCCAGCACGTTGCTGCTCTCAGTCATTTGCAGCGGATGCTTTCCTCGGCTTCCCCATCGCTGTCACAGGGATGCTGAGGACGAAAAGAATAAGCGCACCAGCAGGAAAGAAGAGATGGGGAGATCTGTAATTACTCAGGACTTTGGAGTCCAAAGTAGGAATCGGGGCACACTGAAAGCAGTGGCCTGGAAATGTTCTTGCTCGCTGGTCTTTCTGTGCTCTGCAGGGTCTATAAAGCTGGAAGCTGACTCACTTGTTTTCGTTGCTTAGGTTACCTTTTCTTCCTTTGTTTCAGCTCAAAAAGAAACAGGTCTACGTTGAGAAGGTGGAGAAGATGCAACAGGCATTGGTTCAGCTGCAGGCAGCGTGCGAGAAGCGGGAGCAGCTGGAGCATCGGCTGCGGACCCGGCTGGAGAGGGAGCTGGAATCTCTCCGCATGCAGCAGGTACCCGATGTTTGTCTGCGCTCTGCTCCCTTTCTTGTATGATTGTAGGTTACACCATGCATGAAAGAAGGGCAATGTTTTTCTCCATCTTTTGAAATTAGAAGAACGTTATTTTGGTAGCTAGCATCATGGACTTGCTAGCTTTGGGTTTTTTGGTGGTTTTTTTTGTTTGTTTGTTTTAGCTGATTAAAGTATTACACTTTAACCAGAAAATTTAGATAAGGGAGCAATAGGACATCCGTCATGTGTCAACGTTCAGACGTAGCCATAGAGCTAGATGTTATTCTATCTTTAAATAACCTGGTTATATATTATTTTATATTATTTAAAAAAAATATTATTCACAGTTTGAGATATTATATGAAATTCTCTAACAGCTGGACTGAACAGGCCCTTTAAAAAGCTTTTGCCTGTGAAAAACAATTCCATAAATGCAGGTGATGCAGTGTCAGGAGCTTCCTGTAGAATATATTCTTCCAGTTGTAGCTTGCCTCTCTTTCAGTGCAAGGAATAAGAAGTAAACTGTGCAGTGGGGTTACGAATTGGATGTGCAGTTTTAGTTGTATTTCAACACGTGTTAAACATAGGTGAACTGGCAGGTTGTTAAGTTTTGCTGGAAATAGGATGCAGGCTTATGTTCTAAATCACGTTTAGTTCCAGGTTAATTTTCGTCCTCAACTGCCACATCTACGTAGGAATAGATACAAAAATATGATTAAGATTTAAGTATTGATTTTAGTAGGAGTTACATGAGTGCAAGTTAAGTGAGTGTGAGTTAAAACTTAACGGTGAATCTGCACCCATTTGGTAAAAGGGGATAGAAGAGTGAATTACATCACACCTAGCTTGTATTTGACAAGTAACTGTTTTGGGAGCTGTTTCATATTGTATTTAAAAATCCACTTGTGTAAAGGATGTGGCATTATAAACGCATAGCATATTGTTAACTTCCTTCGTTTTTACTTGTATTAGTGTGAGGTTTAACCGATGCTCTTCCTAATGACAGGCCAGGTATAAGTTTGCTTAAACTCAGAGGAAAAAAGTTAGCTTGCTTTTACTGAAAGTGTCTCAAAGGGAAAGATTCTAAATTGGCATTTTTGTTTTTTAAAAAAAAGTTGTTTAAAAATTCTTCCTGTTTGACCCGGATGTGCATAATGAATGTACTCTGATAAACTTGTTTCTATGTTAGCTTTGGATTAGGTACTCCAGACTCCACAACTTTTTGACTTTGAGCCTGAGTTGAAACCAAAAAACCCTTTCTTGTCATAGACAGAAATTCTGAGCTGAGCATAAAAGAACTTGTCTGGCCAACTTCTTTTCTTTTAAATGTTGTTTTTGTTTTGGTTTTGTTTTTTAATCCTGCCAGTCCCAGGCAAGGCTCCCATATAAAGCTGTATGTTTTATCCTTTGGATTTTTAGCACAGCAAATCTCAGCTCTCTTTCATGTTCAAGAGAAAAGGAGCACGCTCTGTCTTCCAGACCTTGCTTTAGAACTGAATTATTTTTAATCCCCAGTTTCTTAATCCACAGGCACACACTGATCATATTATTTCAATAATCAGATACTTGAAAAATATTTTGGATGTATTTTTTTGAAGGTAGGATAGCTCTTGTAAACTCCCCGGTCTAGTTCTCTTGTTTCTTTACCCATTGTCACTGGCCAATATTATAAAACGCTTCTCATTTAAAATTGATCTGCCATTTAAAAAAAAAAAAAACAACAACTGTATCTTATGAAGGTTGGAGCAGAAAATTTAACACAAGCATTTATTTATTGTGATTACTGCAGTCAGGTCTTTCTCACACTGCTTGGTTCACCTGGTCCAAGTTTGGGCACCAGAGTGTTAAGGTGAGTTGTATTTGTATATCCCAGTTCTGCTCTTGCACAGACTGGTGCAAGTCCCTTGAAATCAGTGCATTAGTTAGCGTTTGACTGAAACGGTGTCAGAAATAAGTCACTTTTACTTCAGGCAGTATGGATGGGCTGAAGGCATCGGACCTGGGTAACATGGTGCAGCTCTCCAGCACATTCATGTGGCTTTTTCTGTGAGAAGGGGTCTTAAGGAGTATTTTCCATCTCAGATATGTGCTTGTTGGTATTGAGCAGCTCTGGAGTAGTACCAGGAAGCACTCTAGCGTAGGTGCTGTGAATTAAGCTCTTCCTTGACAGTGCAGTGTCAAGGAAGCAGCGTCTGGTATTTGAAGGTTTTTGAACTTCAGCATTGGTAAAATGGAAGGTGCCTTTCTTGGGTTATATGAACTTGTTTCCAGGGTTTGACAGCGCTAGGCTGAGCTGCCCCTGCAGGCGTTTCAGCTTACGTTCTAAAAGAGACCACGAGCATCGCCTAGTCTGCCCAGCACGGCCCTGGCCGCAGCATTGCGCTCTGCGGGGTTCTTGCATCAAGCCAGTAGTGCTCTGTACCAGCTTCTGTCCCACACACAGAAAAGCAGACATACCAACCCTGAGTCTTACTGATGCATCCTGAGGCTTCTTTTTGTTTTCTCTTTGGAAATCAGCGCCAGGGTACGTCTCAAGCTGCCAACGTCTCAGAGTACAACGCCACGGCGCTTATGGAGCTCCTGCGCGAGAAGGAAGAACGGATTCTCGCTCTGGAAGCTGACATGACCAAGTGGGAACAGAAGTACCTGGAGGAGAGTGTGATGAGACAGTTTGCTTTGGATGCAGCTGCAACTGTGGCTGCTCAGAGGTAAATGAGATTATTCATAGTAGAGGGATTATTTTCTTTTTCCATTTGAAAGTCATATTTCCCACCAAGGAATGTTGTCATGCCACCCTCCCATGATACCTCTCCTTGCGGTCTAAATGGCATCTAAAACTTCTGCTTGTAAGTGGAGCTTGGCTGCTTTTCCTGGGAGCTGTGTAATTGCCAACAATTAGAAACTTTTTTCCAGGGGAAAATTTCTCCCCCACCACGCGAGAGCCATTTTGCAGACTAGAATTGTTCTGAGCCATTCCTAGAAGCTATTGATTCCAAAATAGATGTATGAGGAGGGTTTTTTTTTTGTTTTGTTTTTAAACAGGAATCAGTCCTCGCTGAAGTCATGTGAGATGGGGTAAGCTTGGTGATTCACATCGTTCACCCTGAATGGCTTACTTGTTCTCCAGAATGTTTTTGCAAATTACTTTGTGGTATTGTCTGCAGCATGGTTACTAACCCGAGACATCTACTAGGAAATCCTGCTCAAAGCGTTCTGCTGTGCGTGGAGGGCATTGCTTGTGGGGGTGGGAAGGGAAGGGTGTCCGAAATTTGGTAACAAGCTCACGTTCCGAGACAACTGTCCAGAAACACTTAGTATGACTGTGAATAGGCCCAAGCGTTTTAGCTAGTTGGTAAACAAGAGCTGCAGTTGGAGTGCAGTTCTTTAACATTAGGTAGTGCTTACAAGTAGTTTCATTGCTCACTAGTTTCTGGCTCTTAGCGGTAGATTTTATTTTAGCTTGTTTCATGAGCCAACTTCAAATAGGGATGTTATCGCGACTGGGTTCCTCGCTCATAACATCATACTGGAATTCCAGGGGGAAAGCTGCAAATCTGCTGGGTTAGCATTTAAAGAGTTATCTTATCTTGCTTCAGAAGCAGGGTGTTATTTTAGGGTATTGATGCTTCTTGTGCGCTGTTTTCCGCCTCTCCAGAGATTCTCTAAAGGCCCTCGCTACTACATGTCCCTAGAGGCCATGTTACGTTTTCAGCATGCGCTGATAAGTAGGGGTCTGGCCTATCGTTCATCATGGAATGAGAGGGGACGTGTTGGGCCCGCGCAGGTTTTGTTAAACGAACAGGAATGCTTCCCAGTCAAGAAAGAGCCAACTTCTCAGACCTAGTTTTCCTTTTCCTTCTAGCTGCTTTTGTCTTAAGAGACCATTTCATTAGCATGACTGCTTTGGAAGTTTGTATGCAGTTGGGACCTACGCTATACCCTCCTAAAAACAGACAAACAAACAGAAGGGCTCTGAGGGCCTTCCACTAGCGTCAGTGGCAGCCTCTTCTGTACTGTGCACAAAGTTGCTTTCCCTTTTCTTTTATAGTGGAAAACAGTATGCCTTAGGAAGCTGAGGTTGCAGGAGGGATGCTTTACAGCAGAGGCAGGAACCTGGGTCAGCGTAGGTTTCTTTGTGCCCTTCAGTGCTTGATGCTTTGCTGTTCCTGATTTGCTTGTTTTGTTCTGTTTTTTTGTTTCTGGTTGTTTTTTGGCGGTGGTGGTTGGCTGGGGTTTTTTTTAGGGTTAAAGGTACATTCACTAGCCAGTTCTTAGTCCTGCTGGATATGAGAAAACGAATTATCCGTTATAATGAGTTGGAACTAGTGTCATAGTGAGTTTATTCTGATTGAACAGCAACAAGTAGGATGAACTATACGTTATGTTTTGGTTAGTGGACTGAACCATTTAGTCCTATGTAGTGTCAGTCTAAAATGGTTTTTAGCCTACTCCAAGTTGTTTGGACCAAGCTATTGAGAACTGCTTAAGAAATTTGGATGCCCTGTTCTGTTGCTACTCAGATCCCCTGTATGACTTTGTTAGAAGGAGAAGGGAAAAAGCTTTACATCTGCAGCTAAATTTGCACTGTGCCCATCATAGAAAAGTGCCTGATGTTCTATTCGGTTGTCCCCCCCCTCCAACCCCCCTCCACACCGCCATGTCTTTGGATTTGCCCTGTCAATCAGTTCACAGTAGTTCAGTTAATCAGAAAGATCATAGATTGGCATGGGATGGACAGTAGATTGAATATTGTTATAATGACTTGCATATTTTTGTAACCCTTCTTTCATTAGGACTGGGAGTTGGATTTTTGGAAGACACTGAACCCGCCTGTACTCAAAAAAGTGGATATTCTTGTTTGTTACTTTTGAGCAATCATTTTGTGCTGCTAGGAGGAAAGCGGCAAACGTAGGTGGTCCTTCATCTGCTCTACTACTTGTTCTCAGGGACACGACAGTGATCAGCCACTCGCCTAACCCTAGCTATGACACCTCGCTGGAAGCTCGCATTCAGAAGGAGGAGGAAGAGATCCTGCTTGCCAACAGGAGGTGCCTCGACATGGAGGGCAGGTAACATGCAGTTTGCTTCTGTCTGGCTTCTTTAGGACAGGGATTTTAAATGGAATATCTGGATCAGTGCCTCAGAACCAGAAATTCTTGTGTCTTCTCCACCAACAACACTGCAGGGTGCCAGACACTCATTTGGCCGAGGAAGTAACTGCCTGGCAATCCACAACCTGTCTTGATACTGCGGGCTAATGCAAAAAAGTCTTGTCTTAGATTTTGCATCTTGTTTATTCCCCTTCTTCCTTCAGGGCATCTTCATCAGACCCCAATTTCAAGCCACCTCTTAAGAGTCACACAGAGCTGTTTTCCCTGGGGTTTGGCACAGTGCAGACTCCAAAGAGTGTTAATCCTCTTCCTCCTGTTGGTCTCGTTTCCTGACTATAGCTCTCAGCTGTCTCAAAGCCTCTTCAAAGGCTGCTCAAAGCAGCTTCTGGGAGCCAAAGATGGGTGGGTAGCTCGGTGAAGCTCTGTCACGTATGCGTAAAGAAGTGTCATGTGTGATCTGCCATCGGGGGCCAGTGAGCAGCCAGTATTCAGGGCAGTAAGCTCACTGGCATCCTCTCTCTGCCTCCTCAAATGCCTAAGGGAGTTCTGATCACAGCCACGGGGGCACTGAGGCCTCAGTCCGAGGGGATACCAGTTCAAACACGTTATTCCTCTTTGTCCTCCTCCAAAAGGATCAAGACTTTGCATGCTCAGATCATCGAGAAGGACGCCATGATCAAAGTCCTGCAGCAGCGCTCCCGGAAGGAGCCTGGTAAGACAGACCAGCTCTCCTCGATGAGACCCGCCAAGTCGCTGATGTCCATCTCGAACGCTGGCTCGGGCCTGCTGTCCCACTCATCAACGCTGAGCAGCACTCCCATCCTGGAGGAGAAGAGGGAGGACAAGAGCTGGAAAGGCAGCCTAGGTAAGTTTTAAACAAACAGTAGCAATTCAGATACACAAGTCACCGTTTAGAAGGGAGACAGGAGCAGCAGCAGGAAGAAGGTGCGTCTGACAGACAGCCTGATCGACCAGCCTAGCACGTGGTAAAGCTGACCGCAAGCAAGATGGGGCACATTTGGAATAACTGCTTGTTTTAATTGCTTTTGGGGAAGCAGTGACTTCTGATGTTCATGCTCTGTCATTAAAATATTTAAGTCTTAATTCCCACTTGGTTTGGTTCCCTGACTTCAGAGACGTTTGGGATCTAGTTTTCAGAATTCCCAAGCACTTTCTTTCAGCGGGGTTGTTACAGCTGTCTGAAGGTGTAAAGTCTCCTTGAATAAGTAGCCAGCAGAGGTTAATCAGGATTGCTGTCCTGTAGTGTTGTACCTGCAGTAATATGACTCCTGTCTGGAATGGCTCGACACCGTTGTTTGGAGAAAATGGGTTGTAACAAAGCAAATTTTAGGTGTATGGTGTGTTGTTGTTTTGGTTGTTTTTTTCCCTGGAGAGGAGCTAGGTCCAAAGCTCCTCCCTGTGAGAATTAAAGGCTCTGGGATGTAAGGGAGAATCTCTTGCAGATGGTTTCAGGGTGTGCAGGTTTACCCTGCCGTAGCTGGGCCACTGCTCAGAGATCGGGAAGTAAGGTGTTAGTGCCCGCTTGAGTATCTTTGCATGCAGCAACGGGAGGATACTGCCACTCTTCAGGTACTTCAGTACCCGGTGGTGAAAGGTGTTATAGAAAGGTGAATTAGTGCTCTCTGCTGAAGCACAGAGTGCTTTCCAGATCCTGGAGCAAGTACTATGAAGAGGGGCAGAACGAATGCTAATTAGTTTACTGGGACTGTGAAATTTCCTTCCCTTTTTCCATAAAGGTGTTCTGCTGGGAACAGAATATCGCTCCGAATCCATTCCCTCCACACCCTCTCCAGTCCTTCCTTCCACCCCGTTGCTGTCAGCGCACTCAAAAACAGGCAGCAGAGACTGCAGCACCCAGACCGACCGGGGGAATGAACAAAGCAAAACTGCATCTTCCACGGCAGCTCCCACCCCAGGGCGACTCCCTGGTACCAGCCTGGCCTACAGTGCGGACAAAACAGGTAACAGAGCTCAGCTACCATCCTAGAGGGGCCCCTGCTGCTCGCTCCCTCTCGGTTCTGCTCCATGGCACTGGCCTGGCATGTCTGTCTCTCTTTGCTCAAGAAAACTGGGTTTAGTTTTTGTGAGGGCAGACAGTTCTTAGGAACAAGTTTGACGCCGTTCTGAGGGGTATTCAGTAAATGTTCATAAGAAAAAAAGCCCGAAGTGATAGTGTAAGTGTGGGCACACTGGGTGGAGAGGTAAAGCAAAATTTAATATTCCCTCAGCAATTGGAGCAGCAATTGGAGCAAATCTCAAGATAGTCTCTGAGTTGGTGTGTACTCTGAAAAAAATTGCGAGTGGCACACTCAGAATTAAACAACTTATAAAAATGGGCTGTAGAAACTGGCTGTGGCATTTCAGTGGGTATTCAAAGTGAAGTGGACTCCGATAAGGGGCAGGGAGAAGAAGGAAGCGTGACTATCATGTTAAAGTTGTCTAGTTATTGCACTGTCCCGTCGCAGGACTGACCTCAGCATTAGCCTAAGGAGATCCAGTTGACAGTGACCGCCGCAGAAGCTGAACTAGCTTCCCACAGAGCTCCACGCTGGCAAGAGTGGCTGGCTGCCAAATCAATGCAGATTACACAACCTTGCCTCTTCTCCTTACAGACACATTACAATTATGCTCTTCTTTCTGGAAGAGTGAATTTGGCTGGTCTGCTGTGCATGCATCTTGCCCATGCTAGGCTATTTAATAGGTATCGAGGGAGACAGGCGAACAGGTTTTGTGGTGAAAGTCTACACTGACTGCATTGGTTTAGATGCAGTTGCTTCAGTTTGTATATGCGTTGTCTGTCAATGGGAGGTACCCAAAGGGAATTTGAGAAAGTGTCTCTTTGGCTATAAACATGAAGAAACGAATTTTTTTAAATTAAACAAGGTTAAATTAAACAGCTGTCCTTTGGCCAATGACAGAAGGTGACTTTTAAAACGTTAACTTCATCTTTCTGATCCTGCGCTCACGGTTGTTGTCGATTCAAGCTACAGCTTTGATTGTCTGTCTTTTGTTTCTCCTCATAACATAGATGGGCCACTCTTCCACTCCAGCACTCTCGAAAGAAAAGCCCCTGTTCAGAGCGTGGGGCAGGACCTCCCAGATGGAGAGATGGTAGAATACCTCATCTGAAAGGCTGAACTGGGATCTGAGCTGGGATACAATAGCAAGAATTTTTTTAAAGACATTTTTATTGGAAAAATTTGTAGTACCTGAGTAATAAAAAAAAAAAAATACTCAGCTGTTTACTCTTGTATATTATGTCTCAAAAGTATGGACAGGTTAATTTATAATTTGTTCTAAATTATCAAAACCCTGTAACACTTGTTCTTTGAAAGTTCCCCTGCCTTTTTTTTTTTTTTTTTTTTTGAATACTGGATCTGGTAATGTCTGGAGAAAAAAACATGGTCTTAGGTGCACTACATTTTATAGATCATTTCAGTATTTTTAAAGTCTTCTCTTTTAAAAACAAGCAAGAGTACCTGCTCTCAGTAGTTGGTTAATTTTCTAGCTTGAACCTGGTAAGATGGGTGTAATGGCCTTGCAAGGATCAGAACCAGAATGTGGGCCCTGGTTGTGAGCATCACTTCTGGTTTCAGAAGACAGGTATTCTGAGAAGCTTTTCTAAACTTCTGAGCCACGGTCAAGGGAGATTTCTCTTTATCTGCAGTGTAAGACCTCAGAACAGGTATTTCATATTCACAGGCTGCAAGGACTTCTATTTTTAGTGTGCTGACATTCTTTCTAGTTCTGAAATTGTGCTCTTTCTTTACAAAAAAAATGCAACTCCAGTGATTAATGTCACGTTTGACATTTTCAGTTGCGTCAGAAGATCCGCCATACTTTCATACATAAAACCTTCTTCAATAGTTTATACAGTGGATAATAATTAATATATTGCATTCATGCTTTATGTAGATAAATTTAAGAAGGAAAAAAACCCAGTGTACAGGCTCAGTCCTGATCTCTGTTAGATCAGTTTTCTGCCATCGTAATTCCACTGGCTTAGTGGGGTTGCTCCAAATTTACGATAGTGTAAGTGGCAAGCGTCCTTGCTTTTCAGCGTTAGCAAATTGATCTGCTACCTCTGTGGAGATCTTTTCCCTTAGCAGATCTTTCTCTGTTCCAAATCCCCTTCCACCTTGTACATCCCTCATTCTCAGAGATACCAGATTCTTTTTCATACAGCAGTGCCTCGGAGCTAGAACTTTAAGCAGTAGCTTTGGGTAAAGTTTCACATGGCAAATTCTGTCCTTCCAGAATATTTTTTGTCATCTGATTGGAGAGAGCAGCTTAAAGAATATCCCAGAATCATTAAAGAAGATATTCGTTGCGTGTGTGAGTGGTCACTTTCAGGGTCTTGGGAACTAGCACAAATGCTGCAATGCTCTGGCTGCAGGTGCTATAAGGAGATATTAAGACCAATACAAGTAAATGAGGTTTTCTGTTGCTGTCTTGGCATTGTTAAAAACACTTCAATATTCATTTCTACTAAAAATTACTTTTTTTTTTTTTTTTAACCTGAATGTTAGAGTGTTTAATTAGCCGTTGGTCACATGTCAGGAACCTGGCTGGTCTCAGCTTTCTTTGCAGCGTTCGAGTAGGCAGATTTAAATTTCAGACCCTTTCACTCCAGAAATAAGGAAAATAAGCAATTCATCATTCAACAGTTACTGTATGTCCTCAGTTCTTACTGCGTTGACACTGCTGATGCAGTGTCTAATTGAAATGGCCTTACCAGATCAACAGATGCAACATGAATTTTCCTGTGGAGGGTTGGGAGGTAGGAGGAGAAAAGTGCCTTTTCCTTTTCCATCTGCCCCTCAGGTGGCTTAGTGCCTTCAGAGCAGCTGTGAGTTGGAGTCTGTCTTTAGGGATAACTACTTACAAAAGCAAGGCAAAGGGTTCCCATCAATTCTAGCAGGTTTGCTGCTTGTTGCTATTCTTCAGCCTGTTTTCCTAGACCCACAGAAGTTAGAGATGGCAAAATGTACATGTAACCTCTTTGCCGGTGACCTCTCTAACAAACTGAGCAAACTCCCTTCCCTCACCACAGCCCAAGACACTTCAGAGCTGCACTTTAAGGCTTAGACGGTCTCTGCCGTATGGGGCAACATCTTTCTGGGCAGTGCAGTAGACCTTCCCCAAGTGTATTCTAATAGTATGTCTGAATTAGTTCTTCACCCTTTTCTGGACAAACTGTTAACAGGCTCTTTGTTCTCATCCCTGAGAACAGCTTACGTTTCTTTCTGTTGGCTTAATTCCATCCTGTTATATAAAGTAGTGCCCGCTCCGGACAATTTTAAGTGATTTATTTTCTTCTTCCACAGTTGTTGGAAATGCAGGAGAAGCTTTTCTCATTAGGTCACTGTGTCCATCTTTCTGCTATTTCCAGGTTATTTTCCGTATTACATTATGTGGTTTGGGCTTAAAATGGACAATAATGGTGACCGAATGCCTTGGTGGGGCGGGGGGGTGTATACGCGCGTCTGTCTCAAGGGGAGCGATGTTTGAGTGCTTTTCTGTTCTTTTAAAGTGGTCATCTTTACAAGTGCTTTTCAGCAGTAGGAAAGGAGTTTTACAGCTGTAGGGCTCGAGACAAACTGCTCCAGCTCAGTTGATACATGTTAATTCTAAAACATGTAGGAAAACTTGGATCATTTCCTGACACAATCTGTTTTAGAAAACTGATTTTCCCCAGCAGGTATCGACTGTTCAGCTGGACTAGGTTAAAAATGTGTTTATTCTCCTTGCAACTCTTTGTTTTCAAAGTGAATTCCACTGTAATCTACTTTTACGAAGAAAGACGTATACAATAGCTTTCTGTGAATAAAATACAGATTATGCACAGCAATTATCTCCTCCAAAAATGGAAGCTAGGAGGTCTCTGACAGTACAAGCCATTCAGGATTACCTAGCGACCTTAGCAGTTCCTATGCCGGTGGAAGTAAAATTGAAAGAAAACGACAGTTTACACTGCTTTGGTCAGGTTCTTTATCCTATTTTTTAGTTTTGGTTTCTTCCAAAAGCAAACCCCCTCTCCCCCCACCCCGATCTCCTGACACGGAAGTCTGAGGTCTTCTTCCTGTACTGACAACCTAGGAGCCAGCAGGAGCGCAGTCGTTCCTTTGAGCTTCCTCAGAGCCGTCTTGATGTGAATGTAAAAGAGCTGCTTTCTTTGAGGAAGATGTGTAGGTAGATGTGTAGTACACTACGGTCTTCAGTCTCTTTGTACAGATTTTTATCTTTTTTTTTTTTTTTTTTTAAGAGCAGAAACTGCTTTAAGGAGACAAACTGCACACCCAGTTCCTTTTCCTTCTGTAGAGCTTATTTCTAGTAGAAAGTAATTTTTAACACAAAATGATTGCAATGACCTTTGCAAACCAAAACTTTAGACCAAGAGTTTTTCTTAAGCTCGGGTATTAGAAGCAGAATTGTAGCTTTTATAAAGAAAGCCACATATTCCTCTTTGTAGAGCAAAACAAGAAAATTGAGTGTAGTTATTTTTCCTCTCGCCTTTCACTGCTTACAGATCGGCCAAATTCACGAGTCCTTTTCCTTGGGCAGTCCCGTTGCCACGTGAAGGGTCGGGAAACTGCCTAAGATCTGGAGCCTTTTGTTCCCAGCTGGCCCCATGTCATTATTAACTTTAAATAGCTCCTACCTGGCAACTGCTGTAGGGTCGGGAGCAGTAATTTTTGGTCTATGGTCTGAGGACTCTTGGGGATCTGTGGGTCGCTCCTCAGGGGTCCGTGAAGGGTAGCTAAGGTAAGCAAACGCCATCAGGAAGCTTGAATTCTTTGTGTGTGGTTTGTGGCCCTGTTTGGCAAGTTTGCAGAGATCAGCACAATCTGAGAGGCTGAAAACGGCGTTAGTTTTGCTTCCTTTCTGAGGCTGCCTGAGTGAGGGGACCTGCCGGACTTTAGGCCAGACCCCTTTCCAAGGATACCTCCTGCTCCAGGAGCCCGCGCCGATGACCCGTGCTGTGGGCGAGATGGGTTACAGCTGCAGCCCCCGTGCCAACTCTGCAATAGTCTCCGGAGACACCCGTACAGTGAATCCTGATAACCGTGGCCAGGGGACGGGTTTTTCCAGTGGTTGTAAAACAGTGGCACCGTAAACTCAGTGTAGTCGGCAGAGCAAAACCGCAGAGGTAATTTGGCTCTCCCTCCCTCCATCCCCACAAGACTGGCGAAGGTCAGCCCGGATTCACTGTGCTTCTCACTGCGTTTTGCTCTGTGCCAGGGGTGGGGGGCTGTGGGCAGGGGTTCTCTTCTCATGTATTTGTATAGGAACTTTTTTTAAAAAGCTAGCATTTTTATGTCTAGAAAGTAAAAAGACATTGTAAAATGTAATTGTACTGTATTTATGAAGAAAATACATTTCTTTTCAAAAAGACCTTATTCTAAGTTGGTTTTAGATTCTGCTTTCCGACAACATCCTCTCCTAGGCTTCCAGAAGCGTTAAAACCCCATCTGGCTTGCTCTGTTGTGTCCAAATACAATGCTAGGGCTGTGCTAAACTGTTGAGATTTAAGAAAAAGCCCATCTGCCCTCCTAACTCGAGCCGTACGCGTGACTGTTAATTGTGAAGCGTTTGAGGACTTGCTTCTGTTCAGCGTGGTCAGGGTTGGAAACGGAGGCGCTGGAATAACTGGGGCCACCACCCTGGGGGCAACTTACCTTCCAAGCTTTGCCTCTTCGGAGAGGCTGTAGGAGGCTGCTGGCAAATTGATCTGTGTTGGTGGAGCAGGATTAATGCCTGGGAGAGGCATTGCGCAGGACCCCTGTCCGGTGGGTCTCTTCCGTTTGCAGAGTAGTAACTTCTGGGAGGCAAGTGGCTTAAACGCTGTTTCTCTTTCAGTGGAGTTGTGGTCTAAAAGGAAGAGCCAGAAAAAAAAAAAGCAACTAATAAGCTGCTGATCTTTGAATCTGGAATATCAAAGCATGAACTGAAATGTTAGAAGTTTACCGTTTAACAACCTTAGGAAACGCATCAAGAGAATGAGCTTTCCTATATAAATCTATATTGAAAGGAACTGCGTGGATTATTTTTTCCTCTTTATTTAAACCGTCAAGTTGACTTTGTAATTTGTGAAAGAGCTGTTTTGTAATTCCGCCATTGAAACAGCCCTAAAGCCTTTGAAGATTACGGCAGCCTTAATTCTAGAAAAGAAAATGAAAGGAAAGGGTAAACATGCACTGAGGTGTCTCGTAAATGTCTATCATCGTGTCGGAAGTTAGCTATAGAAATATTTTGTGTGTTTTTAAAGAATGGATCTTGTTTTCTTTGGTTTTCCCCCCCCACTGATTTGCTGGTTTTGCAG